CAAAAAAGATTTTTGTAATATGCTTTCTATATCCTTTTAAATTCTGTAAAATCTGTGGTAATGTCTCCTAGATCTTGATATTATAATTTTAAAAATGTATCATTGATATTGTGTAATAAGAAGTAAAGGTCTAAAGGAGCAGGGGAAGTGGGAGGGATAGGGGAAAGGAAAGAAGGGAAAAGAAAAAATATGTGAAAAGGAAAACAATGGAAACAAAGTCTTTGCAAATAGGGAAGGGTGGAGAGGGTGAAGGGAGTGCAGGGAAAGGGGAAAAAAATAAGAACCAAGATACATCATGTAAAGGTACAAGATCCTAATGATGAATGTAACTGTATTTTGTACCTAAAATGTACCAATAAATTTAATGGGAAAAAAATTGAGAGGCACAAGGAGGGCAATGTGATGAAATTTGGGTTTTCTAATCCTTTCTAACATCTGTGAAAGGAGAGGTTAGGCAAAGTGAAAGCAGTTCAGTGTGGTAAGAAGCTGACGTTGGAGCTGGCTGTCCAAGATCCCCCGTCCTGTGAGTGCTCAGCTTCATTCCTCAGTGTCTCTGAATCTCTGAGATGAAGCAGAGCCCAGGGCAGTGTCTGTACAGCTGAGGGCACCAGGACAGCTCAGCATCACGGCCAGGTCTACTCTCAGTCCAACACCAGAGGACCTGTGTCAGACAGGTTTATCAGTCACCCCGGGAGGTGTGCATTGATTTTTGATTCTTAGGAGAAAAAAGGACATTAGATAAACCTACAGAACTGAAATAGACTCTAAAATATAATAAAAGGACCCATATGGCCCAACACAGAAGCTGTCCTTTAAAATGAGTGTGAAAATATCACCAAAATAAGCCTTAATTTAGAAGCACTCTCTATTTCATGAACATAGATTAAAAATATACTCAAGAAAAATAACATTTTTAATATTTTTTTCCTGTCACATGATGAGAGTCATTTAAAAATACAACCTAAATCATTTATTTTGTTTTTGCCTACTGTAATATTGCATTTAAATCTAGTTTGAAAAATCAGTATCCTTCACCCTGGCTGTGTGTGGAGGTGCAGGCCTGTAATCTTAGCTCTTGGGAAGCTGAAGCAGGAAAATTGTTGCACGTTTGAGGCCAGCCTATTCTTGATTTAAAAAGGAAAAAAACTAGGGCTCTGACCGTGTCTGAGCTCAATGGGCTCCTTCATGAGGACATGCCTGGGCACATGAGGTGTCTCTTCCTGTTAGGACACTGGGGCCATCTTCCCTCTTCAAGGTTCCCACTAGCTGTTAATTAAACTAAAGAACAAAGTTGATCAAATTTGTAAAATAATAATTAACTCACTGCAAATTCTAAGTGGTGGGAGCTACTTGAATGTCTTGAATAGCTGTACAGCTTTACAGAAACTCACAACAATCCTTTGGAGTATGAGCCATTATTACACACAATTTACAGATGGAAAACAGGCCATGGAGATAAATGACTTGCCCAAGATCACATGATAAGTGCAATAGTCAGTGTTCTCCACAGAAACCAAAGGACTAGCATCTTTTGCAAGATTTGGAACTACTGTGGTACTTCATAGTGTTATTTATATATGGATCATATGTGTGCAGATCTATGAGAGGGGTCTGTTAGGACATTGGCTCATGTGCTTGTGGCTGCTGAGGAGTCCCAAGAAAGCCCTCTGTGAGCTGAGAGTGCTGAGTTACTGGGAGCCTGGCTCAGTCAGAGTCAGGAGGGCTCAGAACTAGGAAGGCAGGTGGTGTAACTCTTAGTTCAAGGTCAAAAGCCTGGGAAGAAGGCTTCCCAGGAGGGAGGAGGAGCCATCCTAGAGTTCAAAGGTGGGTGAACCCAGGGTTCTGATGACCAAGGCAGCAGAGAAAAGACCTATGCCACTTCTTGGTGGTGTGGAGGAGGCACTATGCCTTTTATGTGGTATTCTCTCTGGGCTGCTGGCTAATATGGATTTACGCTCACAGTGTGAACAGATTTTTCCCCAAGATTAGACTCATGCATTAATCTCTGGAAACACTCTCACAAACACATGACTTATTACTGTACCAATTTTCTAGGTATTTCATAATCCAGTCAAAGCAAGACCTAAAATTAATCATCACAGTGAGCGATTGTTCTGATGCTGAACACCAAGGAGTTCAGCCCTAGAGTCTGTCCTGCTAACTCTAGGCTACTCTTCCATGTTGAGCAGAGAAGGAAGAAAACCCCTTCTATCAGAAGTCATGATTTCTAGGGACTACTTCACATTGAAAGGGGAGTAAGAACAGCACTTTAAACAATGAAGGAAACAAGGTTGATAGAAATGATCATATGGAATTATAAGAATGTGTGCATTTAGGTGCGAAAGTACAACATAAATTCTAGAGGCCATAAGCAAAACAGTTAGATTGGTAGAGTTTTATTTAGAATTGTCAGACAGATGAATATGTTTCAGGTGCTTTGCTTGGTATTTGGTACACTATATCATTACATCCCTTACAACAGAATTTGTCTGTAAATTCTTTTACTATTTAGATAGCATTTCCTTCTGGTAATTGTGTGTGCTCATTTATATCTGTTTATTTTGTCTGTTACTAAAACCTTGTAATGATTTTTCTCATTGGATCAATTCACTGAGTAAGCTTTCATCAGGTCAAGACTTTACTTGCTATTGGAGGGCATTTTTGAAACGTGTATGTCTATACAAATATATATTTATAAATATATACAAAATTGTAAATTTGGACACTAATGAAAACTTCAACTAGACTTATTCTATGTAAGAATGCAAATTCAAAGAGCAGTACTATATGAACACATTTTCTTGCACTCTGATTTCTTTTCAGGTAAACCAGTGATGATAGTGACAGAGTACATGGAAAATGGTTCTTTAGATACATTTTTAAAGGTAAGAGTTGAAAATACTTTAGTTTTTCAGTGTTGTATATGTAATGACCATGATATTGAGGTTAAATTTAATCAACTTTAAAGCCATATTTTTAAATAGGATAGATAGAACTATAGTCGAAAAGTTGTATTCCAATATGAACTATGGTTTATAGTGTCTTTTCAGAAAATTTAAACAAATCCAAATTATATGTCCCTATCCAGTATTTTTATTTAGGTATAAGCTAATTTGAAAAACAAACAAGAAAGTAGGAATGAAGAAAGGAAGGAAGAGAAAAAGGAAGAGAAGGAAAGAAAAATAAACACAAAGAAAGGAAAAGCTTTGTAGTAACAACATTCTGAAAGTACATAATATCAAGCAGAGAGAGAAAACTATCTTGTGTCCTTACAAACCCTTAGTGCAGGCATATGAGACTGCACATGCTCATAATGGACATGGGGACCAGACAGTATGTCATATAGTAGTTGTATGCCAAGAGACAGTAGCCAGTATCTTCAGATCTGAGTTTCAGGAAAAGATTGTTTGTTTGTTTGTTTCTATGTGCACACCCTCAGTTTCTAAGTATTGACAACTAATACTTTCAGCCAGTAGCTTCTTTCAGACAATATAGCACATTTGTATGTCTGGTTAAACCTGGAATGTATGACACTTTGTGACTTCAATATTACGATCATTTCTGGTGATTTGGAAGGGTGTGGGGATAGTATTGATGACTGTTTTAAGAGGGGCCATGTGATAAATATGAGAGATCCCAGATAAGCTGAATTTCCCTTCCAATCTCTACCCTCCACCAGACTGTTGCTCCTGATCCATGTTTTCAAATTCTGCAGTCTCTTAAAGTCACACCATTCCTTTATTTCCAAATAACCATCAGTTTAGCACTGAGGCCACATGACTACACTAAATTGAATGCCTTGGACAGAATCACCATCTCCTCGAATTGCTAGTAACTCCCTGGCCATTGCTTACTGTCTTTTCTCCATCTGCAGCTATGTATTATCTCTTCTGGACACATCAAGCATACCCCCATGTGTCTGTCTAGTGAGTTTCTTTTAATCACCTCCAAGTGTATGTGGTCTTAACTAAGGCAGAGACTAGGCTGGAGTAATACGCAAACTGCAAACCCCTCTGATGCATGAGAATAAAGGACTTCCAATGAAGAAAAGTAGATAAATAAAGGCAGCCAAATGAGATGTTTGACAAGGCCTTTCAAAGCCTTTATCTGCTTTGAACAGTTAAACATTATAAGCTAACTACATATTTTTCTAATACTTCCCATTTTCCTTCAGATAGAAATTGTATATGAGTTGAGTTTTGATGGATGATAATGTTCATTTGGAGACTGAAGGAAGATCCTTTCCCATTTCCTCCTGTGAATGGGTTGCTAGGCTAGCACTTCTGCATTGTCTTCACAGAAGAATGATGGCCAGTTCACCGTGATCCAGCTTGTGGGCATGCTGAGAGGCATCGCAGCAGGCATGAAGTACCTTTCAGACATGGGCTATGTGCACAGAGACCTCGCCGCCAGAAACATCTTAATCAACAGCAACCTTGTGTGCAAGGTGTCTGACTTTGGACTTTCCAGGGTATTGGAGGACGATCCTGAGGCGGCCTACACCACAAGGGTAAGCTCTAACAGAGTGCATTTCTGACAGAGCCTGCGGGCATTTGATTTTTAAAGATTTTAAAGGAAATAATACATAGGGCATTTACCTAACAAAGTGAAGAGGAATCAGACCATAAGGGAAAGAGACAAAGTAAAAAATCCAGTACTTTTAGGTATCTGGAAAAGCAAATATTAAACTCAGATAAGGAAAATATTCACCATTTGAGTCTCAACAATTTATTTTTATTAAAGATGCTAAAAATATAAAGTTTGAGTTCATGATGGATATAACAATGTGAAAACTGTACAAAATTGTGAATGTAAAAGAACATAGCTAAAGACAGAATCTCCTGTACTAAAACACACATGCACACACACACAAATACATATGTGAATATCAACATAGGTAGCATTATTTGATAATTTAAGCTACCTCTATTGTAGTTTCCTCAGCTGTAACATGAATACCAACATATCTGGACCATACTTTTTAAGGATTTACATTGTGGAAGAAAGAAGGATCTATTCTTTCAAAAAATTGGATTTACTGGAGATATTGCAATGGCTAATTACTTTTCTTAATAGGAAAACTGTTAACTGCTAAGCCTACATATATGAAAAACTGGTCGCTAACTCATTGTCATAATTAGCATAAATCAGCTCTTTTTTGTCCAACAAAGTAGTTGCTTCCTGAATTGATTAAGTAAATAATTGACAATTTCTCCTGTGGAAATCTGTATATGATTACAATGTAATATTGTATTGTTTCAGTTTTGAATCCTTTAAAATAAGCAGTATTTGTATAATTCTAAATATTTTTAACCTCATCAATTAAGACATCCTCAATATCTAAACTCCTTTGTGATGGCTGGGATTTATTATCTCTTTCACTGTCCAAATTGGTTAACTTTTGTTTTAATGCAGAGTAACATTTTTATTATCTGTCATTCTCAAGATATGTATTGGATGCATTCTTAATTTATTCAACTTTTTTAAATGACACCTATAGATAGTCTAAAAATAGGTTCTTTAACTGATTATAAGGGTGTTTTTACATTGTTTCTTTGTGACTCATGGATATTTGGGGGTTTATACTGTGCTGAAGGGCAAGAGTAATTAATCTAAGCAAACAAAGCCTTCCAAAGGCCTGCTTAGTAAGTCAATAAATTAACTGATGAGATATCTGTCTTCTTCTAACTATAATTGTCACTATCTGTGTTAAATGAAACCTCATTTAAGAATTCTCCTGATATTAGACTTCACTTAATATATGTAGCCTAAGCAAGATTGAGGTTATAGAAAAGTCTGTTGCCAGTTTGATTGTTGATGTCTCGGTTAAATGCAAAAAGTGAACTTTTCAGGGTCTGAGTCAGTGTGTCATCCGTAAATTTGGAAGAGACAAAGACATAGAACCCATGCCTTTCCAAACATAATGTCTCTGAAATGTGGTGTGGTAGTAGATTGTGGAAAAACTCCGAGATGAGTAGATAACAGAATTTGAATAACATGAATGATACCTACAGTGATCAGAGGACCAGGAGAAAACTTGTGGACTAAAGTTTAGCATAACCAAACAACAACACTTCTAAGAGGGATTCGATCATGCATTATAGACTGTCACAGCCTCCTGCACAGTTAGGTCTTATGATGTGACCCTCCCTATGAATACTTCATCGACAAAAATAAGTTTCAGGAAAGTCTTCTTCAAAAGTTTGTTCAAATTATTTGTTAAAATTCAAACAAATTCAATGCCCCCGCCTGCAACTTGAAGCATGACATGAAATTGTAATTTCCTCATATATCTTGAAAGTTTGGTTTATGACAGCAATTTATACAAATTAGATTATGCTTTTCCTATAAAATGGAAAGGCCTGTGGTCTTTTTTTAAAAGGAAAGTCCCCCTCTGTCTCTGTAATTTATAGTTCCTTATATAGATGAAATATTTACTTGTCTGCTTATATTTGCCTGCTTTTAAATATCAAGAGGAAAAATACTTTATCCTTCCTGAAAGAGGCAGATATAAAAGTGTTTATTTTGTGAAGGAAGAATTAATATACCAAAACAATTTTTCTACCATGTAACACAAAATAAAATAAAAAATTAATATAATGCCAAGTTTCTCCCTCATAATCCAAGTTCAATAATTTTCAAATTGACTGAATTAAACAAGATACACATATCATAGGTTATACAGTTTAACCAAACAAAAACGTGCTATCAAAAAAGAGAAAATCAAGTCTAAAAGAAATAAAGCAATATTGAGGGAATGTATATGTTTTTAACATGTCAGATTCTTTTGCCTTCTATTAACTATTAAACTTCTTAGGTTTGCATTTAGCAACCTAGACTTCTACTTACATTTCTGCGATAAAAAAAATATTAAAAAGCATGCAGGGAATGTGAGGCCCTGCTCTCTGGTAGGAAACCCTGGGAGTACACCTTATTGATTCACCTGACTGCCTGCTTTCCTCTATTTAGAGCTGCCCTCCTGAGGACTGTAATTGAGATATGGGTCTGGTATGTGTTCCAGGAGTCAAATAGAATTTAAACTAGAAACCATCCGGACAGCCAATTAGCAGTTAGTCTACAATTGCTTGTGGGCTGGGAGATGTGAGAAGAGACTGCATGCTGTCAAACACATTCACTTAAAAATGTTACATCTCTTTCTAGACCTTTTCATGAGACAGCACATATCCCTAGATAACACCGGAAGTATATGAGGATTTTAAATATTCTTTTTCAAATTTAGGGAGGCAAAATTCCAATCAGGTGGACTGCCCCAGAGGCCATAGCTTTCCGAAAGTTCACCTCTGCCAGCGATGTGTGGAGCTATGGCATCGTAATGTGGGAAGTGGTGTCCTATGGAGAGCGACCCTACTGGGAGATGACCAATCAGGATGTGAGTATGCAGCAGTTCTGTCTCAAGTTGAAAATGAAATGCTTTGTTCTGTGAAACTGGACGCTTATGTTGTTTTCATCCCTAAAAATGACAGTTTCTTGGAAAACATGAAATCCTTTACTTACCCTGTGATGTTTCCTTGTTGTTGAAGTAGGCTTTACCCTGAAGCTGCAAATGAATTGGTACAAAGGAACACATGTTGTAGGCACATAAAAGTTCTGTCCCTTGCCAGAGAATTATATCTGTATTATAGCGATGCTTCACCTTTTTGTCTGAATCATTCTCAAAGATGAAGAAGGAGCCATCAAAGAACAAATCCTGACAAAGTTTTATGATTTGCATTTGATAAAGGCATCTAATAGCCCAAACCAAAAGGAGGAACGATATTGATTTAATAGTGGATGTTCATTGAGGATAAAAAAGAATAGTCTATGTTTCTTTAAATTGTAAAATGTAGGAAGAGTTGTATTGTGTATTTAATTTGGTGGATGAAAACGAATTTATTTATCCCACAATAAAAAAGTAATGCTGTCTTAGCATAATAGAATCTTAACATTAAAGGAACCATAAAAGAGCCTTCTATTTAAATTCCAAATGTTTATATGAGGCCTGACACACAATACTTCCTGTGGGATTATTGAAAATTGATACTTTTCCTTCAAACAGCTGCAATTATAAAGGTAACTGGCATGTACTAAGCCCTGTCTTAAGTGCTTTCCCAATTGATAGCTCATTAGTTCTTGTACTGAACAATCAATTCATTAGTGTACTTCTTTGAAACATTTTTTTCCTCCAGTTATTTCTTTCCTCTGTGTTCTATGACATCTCTCTCCTGTACCCGCCCTCAGGGGTTGTTAGATCCTACAGCTCTCCAGCTGAATTTCACCAAAACAGCCACATGCCAACAATTCACCCTTATTTTCTGATTCAAAAATTCAAATTCAGTTTGAACTAAAATCAGTCACATCAGTATTTCAAAGTGTTTCCACAATTGCAGGGCCAGCTGGATCAAGCTATGTACAGTAGGAATGAATGATCACATTTTTGCTCCTTCTTCTCTACCAAAGTCTGTATCTGGATTTTGTAGAATGGATTTTAGTGAAGAGATAGATAGAAAGCTTCTTCTAGGAAAGACATCTGGACCTTTTATCTCTAGTGGGGTGCATATCTGAGGGCTTTCAGAGCTCGTGGTGAAGATGTCCTGCAAAATCCAACATGAGGAGGGGATTCTGGAGCTGCCTTCAGAGCTCCTCTCGCTGTCTCCCTTTAGCACTTTACAGCCACTTGCATCTTCCCACATGCAACTGCTTTACCAATGGAAACACATTGTTTTGGATGCTTCTCAGTGAGGCCTCTCTTGCAGGTGCAATCATAAGCTGTTCCAACTGTTCTGCTTTCTTCAAACTTTGAGGTTTGAGGCCAGGGTCACATGCCAGCTTCCTTAACATTGCTTAATAGTGTGCTTTGCTGGTAGCAACAGCAATCAAAGAAAAACAACAAGAAAATGATTTTATTAAGGTCTCAAAAATAATAAAGTTATACCCAAAATTTCAACCTGGTTATCCTAGTTTGTTTTTTTTGTTAAATCTAAACACCACACTGTCTCCAATTGCATCATGGTCCTCTTTCCTTTCCAGTCATCAGTCTTCTAACTGCATATGAAACATGAAAGACAATATATAATAACTATTTTGGATTGATCTAGGTGGGACCAAGATCTATTTACTACTCTCTCTTCTGATAAGAGCCAAATGATTATAAAGCCTACAGGCCACTACATAATTGGTCTTCTAAGGTAGCTTGAAGGTCGTTTCAATTCCATCATGCTATTTAATTTGTATAAAAGTGTTTTACTTTTTTTTTTTTTAATTCTGAGGATTGAACCCAGGGTCTTTATACTGAAGTATATGCCCAGCCATTTTTTATTTATTTATTTTTAAATTTTTCAGTCAGAGTCTCACTAAGTTGCTAAGCTGCCCAGAGTGGGTTCAAACTTGCAATCTTCCTGCCTCAGTCTCCAAGAGTACTGGAATTAGAGGAGTATGCCACCACACCTAGCTTCAGTGATTCCTCATATGCTGCTCTGTGTCTATCTCACTCAGGGGAAACATTTATCTGCTAATTGTCTAGCTAATTTCTATTTACACTTCACATATTTTGAGTTCTGCTTCTGTCAGAATCATTGGACTTTGCCAACTGTGTAGTTGATCATCTCATTATTGACAGTCATGCCTGATGTAGTTATATCTGTAACAGATAAAAGTATAGATCAAAATAGAACACAGTGCGAGGTGAATACTCAGAAGTGTTTCTGCTGATGCTGTCTAGCCTGCCTCATGTTCCTCAGGCAGCAGACCCATACTGTCACTCTACTGTTCTCCCCATCTCTCATCTTCTGACTGAGATAAGCAGAGCACCTAAACCTGACCTCATTTGTCAAGTAGCCACAATACAAGAATGAGTATAGTTGCACCTTAGACAGCAGCATGTCTACTAAGATGCCAAGGCCAGTCCCATAGTCACAGGGCTGGGCCAGTGCCCCTCGGTAGGGATGGACTATGGTTACGTGTAGAAGGATATAGGAGCAGCAAGGTGAGAAGGATTGGGATGAATTCCCTAATCTTTCACATCTCCTTATTTCAAACTATAGTTTTCCTGAAGTCTACATCTTGTGTAATAATTCTGTTTCTATCCTCTTTATTTTCTAATTTCATTTATTTAATGTCTAATATCATTTTTGGCATTGTAGACCATCCAATATTACTCTCATAAGTGCTTTATTTATTTCTATTATTCCTTTTTAAAAACAATTTTTCTTGATTCTATCCATTTTAGTGTGTTGACACTTTTCTAAATAAATTTATTTCAGTGTATTCAGTAAAACACAAGGTAATGCTGATTTAGTATTGTTAGGATGAAAATAGTATCAATTACTGGTTTTGACCAAGTTTTCCAAGAACATAGATGAAGTTTATGGAAAATGATTATGTAATTACAGATCTTTCTGTAACATTTCCTTTTAATTCACTATCCCTTTAACACAGTGTACAATGTGAAAAATACATGCTTTCTTATTTCCACAACATCCTCATAATCATCAGTGGCATTTAATTTTTAAATACAGCATTAAGTGTGATATTCCCCAATTTCTATTGAATTGTTTCATCCACACATGACCAATCAATGATACTTGAAGATCATGATCACTGGCTATTTTTTTGGAAAAAAATTCTCAGAGAATAAAGTTGAAGTACAGTTTTTTCAGTTTCAAATGATATATCCCATATATCTGCACTTATAATAATATCTATATTTACATGTCTGACTCTAAAATACTTTTTACTGTTTCATACAGTATAATCTGAATCTCGCAGAGGAAATCTTTCTCTTTGTCAGGAAGACAGAATAAAGCTAGGTTTCTTTTGATTTAAGATTTCTGCTGCCATCACAGAGACAAACTGGAACACATACAATTAAAATAAAGTAGAATGATTAAGATAAGTTGAGGTAAATACCAGATAATGAACTGTGATTCAGGCTGAAGAAGCTAAGGTGATATCCTGTAGTGAGGAGGAGTCTATTTATTAGTACAAACATTTTAAATGTCAGTGTTTCTCAGAATAAAAAAATTAAATATCTCATTGTATGTTTATATATAATGGTTGTGTTTTCTCTTGTATTTATTGACTAATGAATGCATATATTCTAATAAGCATTTAAATTCTAAAAGATCTTCAAGCTCTTTTAAATAATCAGTTTTTCAATATTTTTATGTTACATTATTTTTCTCATTTTCAAGTGTTAGTTTTCTGTGCTTTCTTTTTCCCGGTGAATTTTAATACAGTAGTTTCTTTGCTACCTCTTTTGGCCTAGAGCTTCCCTATAAGGCAGCAGGAACATTTGACTCCAAAAGATATCCATTTACTTTGTACAGGATCTGCCTCTATTCCTCTTCTTATACTTTGTTTGAATTTTCATTGTGACAGATGTGTGTGTATATATATATGTATCATATATATATATGATATATACCTGTACATATATGTGACATACACCTACAATATTATACCACATATAACAAATATTATATTATTAGAATATTGTGTGTTATAGCAGAAGCAGAATGTTGTAATTAACAAAGATAGGAGTTTGAAAAATTTAATTCTCATCTAAATACCAAAAAATACTAAGATTTGAGAGCATCAAATTATTCTGTTTCTTACCCTTGATGCAATATCTAAAGTAAACATGTGGGATCAAGAATATTACTTTCAAACATAATATTAGGCATCTTCTAATGGCAGTGCTGCCCTTGTATGTAAGTATTTTTGGAACTGGTATCATCATGATAATTTCACCCATTTAAAAAGTGATACATAAAGAAATATAAATACTTCAACACAAAATTTCTGTACTTTGCTATTGAACAACAGCAAAAAGAAACAAAACAGAAAACTTGGACTTAAATCTAGTCATCTTGTATTTTAAAACTCTTGGTCAGGTTCAGTGATTTTAAAGGGAAAGGATTTGAATAGATGATTTCTTAGATCTATTTAATCTCTGGAACTCAATTGGTCTAAGACTGATATACTAAGAAAAAGGCATACTCAATGTATCTTTAATAACTTTTGGAAACAGGCACGAAATCCTAAAATAAAATTGATATGACTGAAACTATTTCAGATATATTTGAAGTTGTTTGCTGAAATATATTCATAAACTGGTTGTTTCTGTGAAATTTCATATTTCACAGTAACAGCTTTTCTATGTGAGATTTCAAGCAAATACTTCAGATATGGTACATCTGAACTGGTGTCAGATTGTCTTAAAAATTTCTGGTTTCCTATTTTTTTCATTTCTTTGTTCATTTTAATTTTGATTGGGATTATGATTCATTTGATTGTGTGTTTTTAATAATTTTTTTAAATGAGCAGCCAACATAACACTTCAGTAGGTTTGGGGAGATCTGCAGTGTTTCACAAACCATAAAATACTAATACTCTTCAGTTTGCCCCAGGAAAAGGAAACAACAGATTAAAATGAAAAAAATATTTTTTAGAATATTTTACATAAAAT